TTAGAAAATCGCGCCAAGGGTAACCTAATTTATTTTCAGAAAGTATACTTATAAAATGAATGAAAGCAGTTTTTTTTATTTTTTTAATGCCAGAATAATTAGTTTCTCTGCAATTTAAAAAAATATATGTTTAATTTCTGGGGTATTTTTCATGTTCAAAATGAAGCCTCTAAGTTGGACAACAGCTAAGCTCAAATTTGGAATTTGACTATTATAATTATAATAATTGCGATTGTTATTTCTATTTTCTTAATTTCACAAAGTCTTTTCTCGAAGAAAAACCCTTTATAATTTGTAGAAATTTTTTTCTTTCATTTAGAAACTATTTCCAAGAAACGAGCAATGATTTATTTAGTTTGAGAGCGATTATCTAAAGTTTGGGGCTATTTTTTTTTTTTCCGTGTGCAGTAAATGTAAGGGGAGTTGGGGCAAGCGGTTTATGCGTGACCGTTTCATTCTTACGTTATGCTGTACTTGGTCACTGTTGTTGCTGTGCTTGTTGTGTGATTAATTCGCGCAAAGAGTTGTGCGCTTCCGTTTCCGGTTGTTGTTGCGGTGCTTTTATGCTTCACATTTCACAGGAGGCTGAATCGTGCTGTGCAGTGCATATGTATGCGTATGTGTGTGTGTTTGTATGTGTGAGTGTGTGGGCGTGGCGTAAAATTAATTGTTTTGTACCCAACGAGGCTTAAAAACACATGCTCATGTAAGCCACGTCCGCTTGAAAAGCACGCTGCCTGTTTTGCTTCATGTTTGCCAGTTACGCCCCTCTTCCCTACCCACCTCCTTACACACACACACACACACACACACACGAACATACACAAGCACCTATTACTCGTAATAAGCATTTACACACAGCCACACATTGGTCACCAGGCAACGTTTGACGATTTGCTTTACTCCGGAGCATTTTAGATAAGAGCAGCGCAACGGGTTCCGTTTGTGTGCAATTAATATGAAAATCAGGCACACTTATCTTAATTAGTTAGTCGCTTATGAAAGGCGAACTAAAACTTCTACTTCCACACAGGGCAACCCGACACTAATACCAAAGCCAGCAATAGCCCTACACTCCGCGACCTGTGTGCGTGTGTGTAGGTGTGTGTGTGTTAACTCATACTTGTGCTTATTATGACACTTCACATATAATGTGCATAGTGAATTTAAAACTACAAGTGGCGCATTTAGTTCGTTTCCTCCCACAAACTACCCCACTACCCCCCCTTGGGGCACTCTTAAGCTTCGTGTGCTAATTCGCTCTTAATGCGTATTCGTCATGTTGGGGCAAAAGGCTTGTATGCAAATAAATATATATAAATGTATATAATAGTTTGAAATAGTAGTTCCTGAGCGTTTGTGGCCAGACTGCGGTATTTTTTATGCTTTCTTTCTATGACTCTCTGCTCAGACTCGGAAATTGTAAGAGTATATTGGTCAAACCTGAGCTGGAATCGGAAGTGCCTGTTTACCGTTTACTGTTTATCGGAATCATTATAGTCAATTCAGTTACTTTGGTGTCTGTTTGTATATGAATCTGTGCTCATGCTGGTGTACGAGAACTTATATACCCAATTTGAAGACTTAAGCTCTTAAGGAATGTAACTTGTTTTCTGAATCCCCTTAAAACTAAAGACTTGAAACATGGAATACATCAATTTTAAAATTGGTGTGCTTGTGGACGCAACCACTAGAGGGCTATGAAATCGATCATCGCAAATCGATAAAAAAGTCACCAAGTTTTGAAAGTATCGTTCTACCTGTTCAAAGTCGATAAGACCAATTATCGCACACAATTAGAAAGCTAGAGTTACAAACTTTGAAAGGTGTATTGCTAGTAACTTATCTCCCAAAAATCTTAAAAGCCTTTTTCAAACTTGGAATGTAGATTACTATGAACATGCTCCAAAGTTTTCCCTCTCCCATAAATCTCAAAAATGTATATTTCCCCAAATTAAAGAGCTAAGGTCAACAAAATTTGAAGACGAATTACTAGGAAACGCCTTCCCAGAAATATTTATTGGTCAAACCCATCATTTTCTTTGCCATCAGAGTATTTCAGAGTCGGGTATGCCTGACTGTAAACGTTTTCACTTTGTTCTACTTTTGCTTTTATTTAATATTTGTACACTCTTTGTGTTTGTCTGCATTTGTTTCGTAAAAATTTACAATTGCTTTTCAGTATTTACGATAAACAACAACAGCAAAATATGAATGCATCGAAACAAATGCAAATGCCCCACACTATGTTTGACATTTTTATTCAAATCCATTGAAATATGCAGCATTGGACAAAAATACGGGTGACAAAAATATTGCACAGAATTTTACACATAGCATGTTTGAAAATGGTTCAAAGGCAATAGCAAAAACAGTCAATAAAACATTTTTATTTCCATTTTTATAGGTGCAATATATATTGTACAATATATATATATATATATATATGTATATATATTTTATATGGATACGGGAGCTTAGCAATTTCTCATGTGTATTGAAAAACACTCAATTGTCAAGTGGGGAATTTGTGGTTCAAAATCCGGAAATCGACACAAAAAACACAAAAAAACATTTAATAATATGATATACAAGTTTTGTGCTCCAGGCCCTAAGCATGACCTCGATTGCATAAGTTTAGTGCAATTTTGCGTATTGTGTTCATTAAATTGCACAACCATTCGGCCATTCGAAAGAAATCATGTAATTGTAATTGAAATGAAGTAAGCGTAAATTGCGATAAAAAAATAAAAATAAAAGTCGTCGGCAAACGTAAAAAAAAAAAAAGAAAATCAAAAAATAATGTTAACGGCCAGCAGAAAGAAAGAAAGAAAGAAAAAATACTTGGGCAACGAGGCGAGCGAGGCCACCAAAAAATGTTTGTTTCCTTTCAAATCAGTACACTTCCTTTGGCCAGGGCCGCGATGCCGCTCACCTTCGCCTTCGTCGCTTGAAGTGCAACTGTGGGGTGGGTTTGGGGTGGCCGGGACGAGGCAATGAAAATGAGTGGAAATCACTTGAAAATACTAACGAGCTGTTACGCTTGGCAAGAAAAATATAATCAGCAGCATCATGTCTGCAGGTGCACTTAAAAGGCGTTCACTTTTTTTTTTTTTGTTCGCTTTTCGGCCCAGCTTCGAAAACAGATTCAACTTGAGCTCTTAAACACAAACTGAACAATGGCTTAAGCTCAGGAAAATCTTTAAGCCATTAAAATTAACCTTTTTGGGCATTCGGACATGGACATGGACATGGACAAAAAATCCAAAAGGTGAAGGCGAGTCCCAAAAAACAATGAAAATTAAAATTTAAAAAGTTTCATGTTCATTTTTTTTTTTTTAAGTAACATCAAATCTCAGGCAAATCACAGCAGCCAGCTTTTGTCAGTTTGGATCAAGTGCGCTCTACTTGGAGCTGCACAGCAGATTGCTGTCTCTTCTCGCCACTTAAGCTTTCGCTGGCTGGCTTTCCTCTCTTGCCTCTCTCGCTCTTGCGCCTGGCAAAGTTGCTGCACCACTTTTAAGCCAGAGCTGACGGGTTGGTTGAGCAGCCTCCACATGCAGTCTCCATGCAGACTCTATGCCTGATTGCGACTTTGAATGAGTGCAAGTTTGTTTTTCTTATGAAGGCCACGAAACGCGCAGTCGGACAAATCGTGATCATGCAAAAGACATCAACTATCTAAATAGTTGCTCGGTTCATTATGAAGTTTGGCGCGTGCCGGATTTTCAGTTTATTCCTCGTCGTCGTCGTTGGCTTCGTTCATTTGCCGTGGCAAATGGAAAATGACTTTGAACTTAATGTTTTGGCCATTGTGTTTGTATACGCTTCCGAGGCGGCATTATAAATTGGTCGCGCAATGTGTAACTCTTAAAAAAGAAAAAAGATAAAAGATAAACACATCATTCCTCCATATAGCTTAAACTTATATTTATTTAATGTGGACTACAGTAAAAAGTTAAAATTCAAATTAAAGTTACGAATTAAATTATATGAAAAGAGAGAAATTAAATGATAAATTTAAAATGAAAGAATAATGTTAAATATTACAATATTTATTGAATGCCTTTGAGTAACCTAAAAATAAGGAAAGTAAGAAACTTTAAGATTGCTGTGTGTTAATCATATTTCTGTTTCTATCGAAATTTTTGAAGAGTATCTGTTTGGTTAAGACATATTTTAAAAATTGTATTTTTAGTTTAATAATAAGTTGATTGAGCATTTTAGTACACATCATTTTGAAACAATGTTGTTTATTAGTTCAAAGCGTAATTATTCAAAGGGGTTTTCAGACAAAAACTGGCCATAAAAATCAAGCCAAGATGGAGGAAGAAGTTTGAATAAATTCGCCCAGCAGAGGATGTTGTTTTCATTGCAAGTTAAGCACAAATTGCGAATTGCATGCATACAATTAAAATTTTAATACTGCATTTTACTTCCATTTGTGTTTCCATCACTTTTTTACCCTATAACATGAGTAAAATGGGTATATTAACGTTGGTCGATAACAGAAAGATGTGCTTTGGATGGAATGTATTTTGTATAAGAACTTTGTATAGAAAAAAGTAGGTAACGTTTATCGGAGGTACTTGTACATTATAATGCTCCTTACCTTCATATTGTGGAAAGTTGTCACAATTAGATGGTACTGCAATTATTCCAAATAAATAAATCAATTAAAAGAAAAATCGCTGTGACATGTAGAAATTTTTTGTTGTTTTTAAAAATAATTTCTAAATATTTGGAAATAAAATTGCTGATCGAAGGAGTCATTTTCTATTTCTTAGAAATATATTTCTTAATAATTGAAAAATAATCAAAAGAAAAACACTGGATTTTAGAAATATACTTTCAGAATGATATTGTGATTTACACTTTGGGCCAAAAGTATAGAAAATTTCTAATTGAGTTATTTTAAAAGAAAAATATTTTGGTTTTTGAATTTGCTTTTCACCAGCATAATTAATTAATATATTCAGTCTGCAAGGGTATTTTATCATTGGTAAACTTGGCTTGTTTTTGGCTTTAGCGGGTTTTCCAATTGCAGTGCTTTGTTTCATTTAGGTTGAGGCGGAACAGGGTTATGATTCAAATTGATCGCGTAACTTAATTCATAAATGCGCAATAAAAAAGGAAAGAGAGAGTGGCAGCTAGAGAGAGAGAGAGAGAGAGAGAGAGAGTGAGAGAGAGAAATGGGTGCGAAATGTTAATAGCAGCAACTGCCAGCTTATGACTCCTAAAAGTCAGTCGCAGAAGGAGAGAAAGAAAAAGAAATAAACACAATGTAAGCAAAGTCGAGAGGGTCAAACAAATGCAAGACAATCTCTTTGGCTCTGTGGCTCTGTTGCACTGACTGCTGCACGACGACAGCTGAACGGCGACGTCGGCCGCCTTCTATAAACAAAAAAAGAAAAAAAAAAAAAAAGAAATTGCTGGTGCTGAGTTTGTGGCCGATTGTGTAATAGGAAAATATTTGTTGTTTGTCCTACTGCGATAGGAAAACTGCAGTATATAAACGCGGGACAAATGCAAACGGCAAACATTTCCATTGCAGCCGCACAGCCAGCAACAAGGTCTGTCGGGAGAAACTCACTGGACAGAAAGCCGCCGAATAACCAAGCCAAATGGCCAACTCCAATCTGGTGAGTGGGTGGGCGGGCTGAGAAGAATGGCCAGCTAAGTATTGTAGATAATAATTGTTCGCAGCTTGGCGTTTATTAAAAATGCATTCGCTCAAAGCAGAGCGAAGCGCAGCAGACTTGCAGACGAGCAGATTTTGCACATACATTTTGCCAGCACTTTACCTTTTAAAATAATAATTTGCATCGCATTTTTATAAACCCACCCGCACAGCAGATGCCGCTCATTGTGGCTGTGGCAATTGTCGGCATTGTCCTGCCGCTGAAAGCTTCATCAATGCCAGGACTAGCGACGAGGACGAGCACAAATGACGGCCTTCAGACATCGTTATATAGCGGCAGTTATGGCCAGTACGATAATCGTTGGCTGCCTTTGGGAGAGCCAAGCACGTCCATGTTGCACAGACCATTGCAACGCTATGCCTTAAAGCATGATGTGGCATCAGCTTTAGCATCAGCAGCAGAAGGAGGAGCGGCAGCGACAGATGGAGGTGAAGCGCGTCGCAGCTACAGAAGCCATTCCTTTGGTAGCCATGGCCATGGTGGACTGGGAGCGATGCTTAATGGGCTCACAAATCTCTCGGGCATGGGACACATTAGCAACGGCTACGCCTCAGTGGCGCCCACGCACACCGAGACACTGTCAAAACAAGAGATACCAATTTATGAGGAGCAGCACGAGGATACTGACGCAGTCGCAGCGGTGGCGGCAACTGCCAACGATTATGCTGATGCGGAGGCGGGACGTAGCATAGGCTATGGCAGCATCGCTGCCGGAGATGAGCATATTCAGCAACATCAGCAGCAACAGCAACAGCAACAACAGCACCAACCATATTACAATTATCCAGCTGAGGCGGATTACTCGTCCGCCTATCTGCCATCTTTTGGCGGCATCGACCAGTCTCAACATCAACATCAGCCTCAGCATCAGCATCAGCAGGCGGGCAATCATTATGCCTACGATAAAATCTCAGTGGGAAATTATCTACATTCCGGCTATGAAGCATTGCAGCAGCATCATGCCAATGAGCAACAGCATCAAGAGCAGCAACAGCAACAGCAGGAGCAATTGGAACACGCCTCCTACTTTGCACCTTCACACGAGGAGAGAGCAAGTGATGCGGAGGAGCATAGCTCCAATTTTCTAGCTGAATCGAATGGCCACGAGGACTCACATCAGCAATCGCAACAGTCGCACAGTCATCATCATCATGTGGATATCATCAACTATGTGCCCGTGAAGCATGTAAAGAAGCAACATGTGCCCGTTGAGAAGCCCGTGAAAATACCCATTTCGCATGCAGTCATCATTCCCATTAAGAAACCGGTGCCCATTCACATACCCATCACCAAGCAGGTGCAAGTGGCCATTGAGAAGGAATTAAAAGTGCCAGTGGAGCGCATTGTGCCCTATCCAGTGGAGAAGCACATTCCGGTGCCGGTGGAGAAACGTGTCCCATACACGGTGATCAAATATTTGCCCGTTAAGGTGCCCAAGCCATTCCCAGTCAAGGTGCCCGTATTCAAGACTGTCCTGCATAAGGTCAAAAGCTGGTGGTAGACGAGCAAGTGGAAGTGGAAGAGGAAGCAGCTGCACTCCACCTTCACCTTCATTCCATAAGCATTAAGTTCATTAAATCACAAATGTCCTGTAAAAAGAGAAAAAAAAAAAATCAGCGATTTGCAAAAAGTTATCATGCAATTTCATTTGTCGAGCTCTTAAATGAATTTTGTTAAACCAAAAGCTTGTGTTGTGTATTCCAATTTTGTGACTCATTTAACATTACATCAATTTGCATTCGTTTGAATACAGAAATAAGTACTTACATATGAAACACACGAAACCACCGCATTAACTCATTTGCAGCTATCGTCAGATGAGGTCGAGGCTGTCTTTTATATTTATGTACATCCTGTATCCTGAAAATTATTCAAATGGGGTATCATAAGGTAGGCTTTGGGATCTTTGTTCAGCATTATAATCATGGGAAAGAGTCCTGAAACTTGCCATATAGACTGAATCAATTTTCTTTTCTTTGAGCCGGAACTATATTTAAATTTACAATGCATAATTTTTATTTGCATAGACATATCAAGAATAAAAAGAACAATCTATAGATACGCCAATTTCCAAAGAATTAATAAAGAAAGGAATTTCTGATTAAAAAAAATCACAATTTTTAGGAAAAAGTCATCTAAGTTTGGTAGAAAATTCGACATTAACAGATATAGACAATTATAAATTGATCAGATGCAGTTATATAATTCTGGTGAAACTGATTTCCGACTGAAAAGCAACAATTTTTAGGCGTAATCCTTCTAAATTTGGAATTTATAAGCTACACAAAAGGTTTGTGTCTAGGATATTAAAATGCTAAGGTTTAATAATAATACAATTTTAAAAAAGTTAAAGTAAGATTTGTGTATATAAAAACAATTTCACTAGATGTTTGTCAGTTCTTAGAAAAGCTTATACCGTTAAATTAAGAAAAGAAAAAACACAGATTTTAGAAAGAGACAATCTTCCATTATAAAAAAATTCAACGCGATTTTATTTCGAAAAGTTGTGTAAATGTATGAATGAAAAATAGCAGTGAATTAAAATCTATAACATATACAAATCAATGTTTTATAGCCTTTCAATGGGTTGATTAATGTTTCAATACATTCAATGCCACATAAAAAAAAAAATAAGAAAAAAAAGTTGTCTATACAGAGTATCTCGCTAGTCTAGTCGTTATTCCTTACCAAGCACTCGCTTACTTGTATTTAGCTGTGATTTTACGCTGCATTTATTATGTACACCGTCGCACTCTTGCCTCCTGTGTCCTGCCTCCAGTCCCCAGCCAGTCTATATTTATTTAAGTTTTATTCACTTTAAGCGTACCAAATGAAATTGTGTTAAATGAAATAAAATGTATTTAGGCGGATGTTTTTGTTGTGACTGTTGTTTTGTAAACTGTCAAATGCTATTTTCAGACCATTACATCCTCAGTTGAACGTAGAGGCAGGACATCCTTATGTCCACGGCGCAATTCGAGTAATTTCGACATTGGCTTGGCATTGGAGTGCCACGGGGCTGAACTGAACCGAGCCGAGCTGAGTTGAGCTGAGCTGTGCTGTGCAACCCCAACACGCAAACTCTAATTAAATTAAGAGCACACCTTTTGTTTTCCTCTGCGACGAGTTGGAATGCACAGCTCTCATTCCCTCTGGCTCACCCTCACTCACTTCTATATCATTGCCTTGACCTGCTGTCACCTTGAGTGCTTCTAGAAAGCAGTGCTTTGTTTGCCGACAGTTTCCATGAATTTAGTGCCTGATGGCTGGCATTTGCTTAAAGTTTGCTTTCGCATTGCATAATTTAAAAGGCTTATTAACTGTCATTAAATTATTTTAATTTATTCGCATCCGACAGATAGACAAGCAGAGGTCCTCGTCCTCCTCCTCGTCCTCGTCCTCGTCAGTTCGTTCGTCATAGGAACAGCACAGGCAAATATCATTCATCATTCGTCGCTGCTCATTGCTCATCTGCCAAGTCGTGACAAAATAAAACTCTATTGCTTGCATGCACTGCTTCTCCTCTTTTGCCGCTATTTTGTACAATTCGCACGCACAGTTTGCCTTTGCCTTTGCCATTTGTATGCCTGCGTCCTGTGTCCTTCGTCCTGCGTCCTTTAATCCGCCGACTGTTTTGTCATACTCAGGTCCCGCAGTTGTGCTGGCTGCGGTGGCCTCCCACCCCGCTCCCCCTTTTTGCTATTGCTTTTGGCTTTGCCAGCCGCTGTCAGTCATGTGGCGGTTGTCTGTGGCTCGTTTTTCGTCTTCGTCTTTGTTACAGCGTACATGTCCTTGGCACTCTCCACTCGCTCCATTTACTGAGTATTTTTGATGTCTAAATTGCATTTTATTATGTCGCCTGCAACAACAAAGCATCGAGCAACCAGCAACCAGCAACGAGCGACGAGCAACGAACGAAACAGCAGCAAAAACTCCTTTTGCTCGGAACATTTGCTGGCCAGCCAACCGCCCACCCCAATCCTCGTTTCCCTGTTCACATCATTGACGACTTTGCATGTCGCTGTTGGATGTTGATGTTGCTGCTCTTGTTGTTGCGGTTATAAATTTTATTTATCAGTTAACATTTTTTACGCTCTTTATGCCGGGCGGGAAATGCTATTTCGACAACACACTTTAAGTGACTTTTCAAGCGCTTTATTTTGCATACAAAGTATTTTCCTCTGTCACATGAGTGTGCCTCTGTCTGTGTGTGTGTGTGTGTGTGTGTGTGTATGGGGTTTATATACTAGATACAAGTGTGTCTTGTTGGGGATTGGGGTTGTTTCCCGGTTTGTTCATCTACTCATCAATGTTTATAACCTTTATCCAATGAGTATGTTACGATGGCATCAAAGTAAACTCTTAAAATAGTAGATATTAAGATTAATATATTTGGTTTCTTTTTTTTCAAGATGATTTTACTATCGCTTTTGCTATAAAGTCATCAATTGATTTATTATTTATTTAAGGAGAATTTCGGTTTTGCGTAAAGCAAACTGTTCAAATATTTCAAATCACGTATTTTTGTTTGTTGAAAGCTTATTTTATTTTTGACTTACAATGCAATAATTCTTATTTACTTTGTTATTTATTTGGGATAAAACACCATTTCATTTTGAGCGTCAAAGACAATCTTGATTTTGGTGAAAATAGATTTAATTTTTTGGAGAGCAGTGAATGTTTCTATGAGTTGCATGTAAATTTGTTGCCGAGCAAATAAAAATACAGGCTTGCAGATAAGTTAATGTTCAAATGAACTAAATGAATTAAAATGAAAAACCGACAAAGCACAAACTAAATTAAATGCTCTAAACATAATTGCAAGTAGATGCAGTTGCCAACAAAGTAGTTTATTTTAATAATGACTACTCGTTTATGCCTTCGTATGGGTGTGTTGGGTGTCTGTCCCATTTTTTATAGCCTCTAGTTTGTGTTTTTATTAAAAAACTTTTGCTCAATGAAAGTTGAACGCCTGCTCTCCAAATTCTAGTTACAGTATATTGCAAAAAAAAAAAACAAAAAATAAAGTTTGCCTCAGCGTGTTATTTATATGTATAAATATTTTGTGCACAAGTTCTCCCAAAAATATAATATATAGCATAACCACATACAGCATTCTAATAAGTGTGGAGTGCACATGTGCCTGTTTCCTTATGCATATTCGACTCAAAACTGCATTTTAAACTTGAGTTCAGTTTATTTAATTCACGTTTTATTGAGTGCGAAACATATGAACATATTTCACCATCAGTTGGGACTCCTCTCAAGCTACTTATGTGTGCGAATACTTTTATCCCCTGTCGCTATGCTGGCGGCTCTAACACATACTTCTTGACGTCCACACAATTCAGTGGCTTTCCCATCATTTTTTTTTTTATATATTTATTTATTTTTTTTTAATATCGCTGCAGCTGCTTAGATTTTGGCCATGTGGTGGGATTTTGAAGGGTTTTGCCCATCCAAACTCCGTCACAGAGCGCGGCACGTGCTAAACCAACCAACCAACCCGACTTTGCAAAAGGCGCCGACAGTCTCCAGGACACGGATGGGACCTGCTTATTTAAGTATATATATATATATATATATGTATATGTGGAGGGGACTCTATATCTGCTGTTAGATAAAATGATTTACGTATTGCCCGTATACCGTACCTGCGCCTAGCTGCACCGCCCCCTCCTCCCTTGGCATATAAATGGCTTAAATAAGTTGCCAATTACCAGATGGCTGCCAGCGTACAATTTCATATGTGGCTGTGGCAACCGAAATGCGCATACAAATGGCCTTAACTAGACTTTGTTTTCACAAATGGCACACTGAGAAAAATTCGAAGATTTAGATAAAAATATATATTACATTTGCTGTACAAAATGGCTGTCTACTCCCCGATTATTTCTCGCTGTGCATAGTATACCAGGAATAGCATGTGTTATTGGAATTATGGTGCCGTTATTGAAGTTTTTAGGACTTTTGACAGTTTCAAATTGTGTACGAGCTCAGTTCATTTTAATGACTATTCCAACAAGTTGATGTACCGGAAAAAGTAGGTTTTCCATCAAGTAATTTAATTCGGAAATACTTTAAGCCACCGATTATAGGTCTGTATTTGATTTCGCTGGGAGAAAGAGGCCAAAGTTTGTTGAAAAATATATATACAATTATTTATGTGCATACACATTTTAATTGGTGCTATTTCTGGCAATCGACAAGTCTCAGTGTGCAGTTCATACGAGTATATTGTGTTATATATGGCTCTTAGTTGGCCATTGTTATCTTGCAACTTGTGTAGGAGTCTCTCGGCAACTTAGCCCCGTTAAGGCGTGGCAAATTGCTAACTAATTTATTGCAAGAGGATGCGTGAATATGAGCTGAAGTTATACGTAGCCAGAGATACTGCTTCTACCTAACCGGGCAATAAATAATATTCTGTCAGCGTATTCATGGAACTGCAGAGAAGTTGTTTCATGCTTGGTACACTCAACTTGTTCATTGAATTTATCGTATTCATATCGTATGAATCTATGTATGTATGTCTGGATGTATGTATGTTTGTTCAAAGTTATTGGCAGCTGAATCTGTTTCTGCCATTTTTGCTAATTATGCGTTTGGTAACACGAGTTATGGCCACAGTTTGAAATGTGGGTCAGTCCTGTTTGCTCTTGCATTTTTATGAACTGACGACCGATTTTAAAACAACAGTTGACGTAGTTTTCTTTCCTGTGTGTGGCGTATGCAGGTAATTAGAGTTATGCAACATTTTTCATTTAGAATTGCTGCATAAAATCGGAGCGTTTGTCACACATTTTTTCCATTAAGGGATATACCTGATGACAGGCTGGAGTTGACAACAGCTAGTAAATTGAAGATAATGTCCCCTTAACCATTAAAAGAGAATCTCTCAAACTTTGCAACTGTTCGATGCATAAACTTTAATGCACCCCATGGCAAAAGGTGTATATGCAAAATGAAAGCAACTCGTTGCACCTGTATTTTCTGAACTCTTTAATTGCGATTATTCACCTGAGGAGCTTACAAAAACTACTCGAAGTTTGCATAGCAACTGAAAGGCTTCGTTCAGTCACTTGACAAAAAGCGTTTTATACCTTTTTGGGGCTGCCTATATACATATGACCGAGCATTAAACTTGCCGACATTTTTAGTGCTGTGCACTGAAGATTATTAAAGTAGTGTGTAAATAGTTTATGGTAATCACAAAATATAACAGTAGCTGCACTTTACTTTTACGATGCTTACACACGCACACGCACATATATACACACACACCTACACATACACATATACATATAAGCATATCTGTATATTTGTGCATGGGCACAGGTCTATGCTAAGAAGCATCACATAAATTCCAAAACAAGAAATATCACTCATACGCCGGTTTGCCATCAGGAAAAGAGAACACTTTTCTCGGCTATAAACTGCGAAAAAGTTCTGCCTGACTGTAAGCTAATACACTGTTTACACTCAGCAAAAAAGTCATTAGTAAAATATGAAAATCGATATATATATTAGGGTTTCTAAGTTTGATCGATAATAGTATATACGGTTTAATGGCAAAAAATTGATAAGATTTATCTGTCAAATGAATAAAAAACTGCCTTAAAAGCCAACCAGCTACTTTGTTAGTTAATTACCAATATTTAAGCTGCACAAGACTTATCCTGAGAAATAATATGCCTTTTTCGATAGGGTAAACTTTCGTTGAGTTAAACTATCTAAAATTTTAGATATTAGATTGCCTGCTCTTGGCCATTTTTTTTTCTTGGTGTATCTGAAGCTACCTCTTAGTCACGCTGAATTTTTGGACAGCATGAAACCAATTAAAGCTGATATAAAACAACCCAGAAAGTGTGTTAACACTAAGTAAAGCAGCGCTGGATGAACATCAAAAATTACATCCACCTGAGTCCAAGTTTTATGTCGCACATAAATTTGAAAACCAAAAATGGTTGCTGGCCAGGCCAACTCTAAAAGGGGTTCGCGTGTCCCACGAAATGGTTGAAAACTTTTTGGAGCTGCGGTCCAGCAGGGGGGTGTGGGGCTGCAATTGTTTTTTGTTTGTGTGTGTATATATGTATGTGTGTGTGTGTGTGTGTGTAACTTGGCTGTCATTTTTCAAAAACCGGTTCCTTTTGTCGCCCCATTGCCTTGCGTTGTGCACCCACCACTTAACCCTTTCAACTTGTTGTTGTTTGTTGCGCAGAAATTATGAAAAGTTTTTTGAGGTAGAAGTGCTGATTAATTTTTAATGTTTATGTTTAGGATACCCAAGCAGGCAGCAGACGCTTCCTTAACTTGGCCAACAAAACAAAAAGTGCGCCATCATTTGCCAAATTATAAAGTCATTTTCATGCTCGAACAAACGCCTCCACATTCACACTTGTCACTGTTGGGATCTGTGCTCTTTGAAATTAGGCATCTTACCTTACCAAGTGACTCTGCTGTATGTATGCAACCCGCCTCTCTGCTAACCCAACCATACTTGACTCATGTGCCGTACACTGGATAAATTAATTGCACGCAATCACGGAGAACCACAGAAGGTCAGGCGGGCAGCAGGGTATATGCCTACACATACATCCCTAATATTGAATATACTTAACACCAATCGACAGGTTGAATCAGCCACACAGCTCATATCAACTGTTTAACCAGCGTCATCAGCAGTCTCGTGGTTGCCAATTTGACCGCGTGCATGTCCGTTGCGATTTGCGGCTTCCGCATTTGCCCCCATTTGCAGTTCTCCCAGTTCAAAGGAGGGGGGCTTCGAACAGCCTCTGGCCAGGCTGTGGGCCAGACAATTGTTAAACTAGCCACAGAATTCTTAACGAAGTGGTTTTTGCGGGTGCTGCAATTATGAATTTATGTTCACTCTCCTCTATCACATAGTAAAATATTTATTCTGAGCATACACATTCATATAGTTGCATGCACTGAAAACAATATAAATATATTTATTTTTACCATATTGCATTTCATATTTCTTTTATTCTTAAAAAATATATGTGTTATTCAATTATTTCAGACAGCAAAGATCTTATGCATTTTGAGAATTTCATTTTTATATTTATAAATAATAATCTAAAATATGAGCATTTCTTTACTTTCACTGAGTTAGATAAATTTCATAAAAGAGCCAAAACAAAAACTTTAAGGCAATAACGAAATTGGAATAAAGATATGTCAGCTTTAATAATTTGTCGTTTTTATTCAAATTTCATTTCATTTCACACGAATAATTTTTGTTAAACACTGTATATTTTTGTCTCAGTGTATGCAGAAATTAAAGCGAAAATACACAATAGTTCATTTGTCAGATGGACTGATCATTTGGTCCAATGAATTCTAATTTCGCGTTACCGCAATTTTGTAGCAAATGTTTGCTGGAGGTGATGTAAGCCTTTGATTCGGTCAGACACTCATTCCATTATCGACGGGGTCGTCCATTTATCATTTATAGATGCGATTTGTTTTGCTAATTTTGTTTTGCGTCTGGCCAAAAATGCACGAGTCAAATAAATAATGCAAGGACGCCCCAAAAATTCCAATGGCCAACAACAACGGCGGCAAGAAGAACAAAATGCACTGGCATAGGACATCCGAGTCAATTAGCGTTAATTTCATTAGTCGGCAATAACTTGCAGCAATTCCATCAGCAACATTCAGCTGCCAGCTAACAACTAGCTGAGCTGAGTCAAGACTTTACTTTTTAGCTAATTTTGTTTCTGTTTCGCTAACGCCGCTCTGAAGTTGAACGTCGCGTTTATTTTGTGTAGCATTGTTGTTCTTATGACTTTTTGTAGGAGTCGTTGTTGTTCTAGCTGTTGTTGTTGTTCCTGTTGGAGTTACATTTGGCAATTAGCAGTAACATTGGCTTGCACTTCCGCCCCTCTGTCCTCGCCCTACCGTACTTCAATACATATTTATTAGCCGCATTTGTTGGATCTTAGCTCAATTAAAAAGTTTTACTTGGCTACTTTTCTTCATTTGGAGGTTGCCCTGTGACTCTACCGACTTAAATGACTTCGTTTCGGCTATGCTCGCCTCAGCTGTGCTGGGGTGAAAGTTTCTCAGTTGCATTGTAGTTTTAACTCCTCTTTTTATTTTTTGGGGGCACTAATTGCAATTATTTCGCTTTTGATGCCGACGGGTTTAAAACGCGTTGAGTAAAAAGTATTCCAAATGTTGACTCATGACCGCTTAGCAATTTTAAGCTCAAAATTTTAAAGTGTTTAAGTTAATAATGGAATTTTTGCGATAATTTCGTCAGAGATTAGCCAAGATTTGAAAATATCCAATCATCACAATAACGAAATTTTGGGTAAAGATTTGTTTATTAAAACCACACGTACGAAAAAACGGACTCAAAAATATTCAAATTTACAAAAACATTAAATTAATTAAATTACGGAATATTTCCAATTCTTAGGGCGGACATGACTGATCTCAGATCGGAATGTGTCATATTTGTATGCCGATTGCATTTCCAGTTGAAATACTTGCATGATGTACACAATTTTTCATTTATATAAATTCACCAAATTTGCTTATGCCCGGCAGAAGGCAGATTGTGAATAAAAACCAAAAAAGTATCTAAATAAAATTTATCTTTGTTGGTAAGCAAGTTTCTAGTCTATCCCAGCAAATGATTGCCAGAATTCCAACCTCCATAAGAGCCAATTCCCAGTGGGGATATTCCGTATTGTGGCTGCTGCTTGTGAACCACAGTGCGTACAATGGGCACTTTAACCGGATACGGATAGTAGAAGGGCTGAGCTACTGCTTTCTCTACCCGGTACGGCACTCGTCGCTCAACCACAAATGGTATCGGTTGCTCCACAGCATATGTCTTCACTTTTTCGATTGGTATTTTTACCTCTTGCAGTTGGGGCACTGGCACCATCCTTGGCACGGGTATCTTGATGGCAATTGGCTTGGGAATAGCTGTGATTACGGGTCGAGGAACTCGCAGCTCAATCGCCTGCTTGAAGGGCACAAGTTGTTTTTGATAATGCGTTATCGGCACATGCTTGGTGATCTCAATGTGCTTGGACAGTGGTAGTCCAGCAATCGCCTTGCTGCTCGCCGGTGTGTGATGCACTCGGGTTGTAATCGGTGGCAGAGAATTGTGCAGGGTGCTCGCTGGTAAATTGGCAATGTGACTTTGTGACTGGGAGTAGAGCAATTGCTGATCCTCTGCTTGTGGCGTGTACAATTGTTGGTGTTGGGGCTCCTGGGACCTTTGTTGTCGCTTCACAGGAGAGATAAATTCGGGTCGCTGTTCTCTAAAAACTTGGGCGCTGTCATCGTTCACTTGTCGTGGCTGCAACGACATCCTCTCCTGCTCCTCCCCGGCCAATCGGGCTGCATGCAGATAATTGGAAAATTGCTCAATACGATAATCGCGCAAAGGCAGAGGCTGTTTCGGTGGCGCCCGTGGCTGATATGAATAGCTTGGGTGGTAGACATCAGTCGGATGTTGTTCGTGCTGTTGTTGCTGCTGCTGCTGCTGCTGCTGTTCAGTCTCTTCATTGACATCGAGTTCATAATTTGCTGTATTAATGACAAAATCGATTTTGCCCTCCGACTGCAATCTGTTGTAGTTGTTGTGTAGTTCTCCTGTGGCTGTCGTTGGCACAAAGCCGTTGGCCTTGCTACCAAGAGCACCACTGATGGCTTTTGGCGGATAATTTGCATATGGTGCCGCTGCCAAGTCACCCACGAGGCCGTCAACGCCTCCGTCCCCGCCACCGCCTCCGCTATAATCATTGAGCGACAACGCCTGGCCGTCGGCAGAGCCACCATAATAATGTCGTGTAGTCGCATATCCTGCTAATCCGGCAAACGGCTCCCTGTTTGGGTCATGGTAATTGCTTCTGGCATGTGGCGGCTGATGGGCCGAGTGGTATGAGGCCAACTCCTCCAGTTGTGGCAACCGTGCCATTATCGCTGCTGTCGGCCTCATTGTTATGGATAACAATAACAACAACAGCAACAGCAATTGCGACAATAAACTGGGCCTCAGTAATTCATTGATCATTAATGGAATTTTGGTGTGTTGGTAATTTCGCTGGCCATCGCGGCTAGCCGGTCTCATGTTGAGAGAGTACTTGAGAGTACCTGTTCCACTGCTTAACCAGCTAATCCTTTGACGGGGTCTCTTCCTTCGTTCCTTCGTTCCTGCCTTCCTTCCTTCACTCTGCACACTCTGGGCACCCACGCAGTGCTCTGTTAGCATTCAAGTGTGTGGTTGCCTAGATGCTTTGCTGTATTTATAGCACTCGCCACTGAGATGACATATGGAACATCTGTAATTCGATATTTGTGCATTTGCCAGCGTCAAGTTCATTGCCCCGCTTTGGTTTTGTCTTAGTAGCAGCATTCACTTTCACCTACACTTTAAGTTGCACTCAGAAAAAAGGAGGACATTTTGGCATTGAATGGAAATGAGTATTTTTACTATAAATATTATTATTATTAATTGTATTGCTGTTATATTATTATTGGGTGGATTCATATACAGTTACCTGTGAGATATGTTTTGCTTCATCAAAAACAATTCTTGCACTAAAGCATGTTGAATTTGAATAGTTATTTGCTGAGCATAAGTATTCGATTTTAAAATTAAGAATGATTTTTACTATTCAATAAATAAATATTCAAAAAATATAGGTCGAATTGTTGATAAGCGAATCTATTCTTTGAATTGACAACAGCGCTTTTCTCTGAGTGCACGTCCGTGTCCTCTGTCCAGTATCATTTGGTGTCTCTCAGATCAATCGACCCGAAGATAAGGTAACCTAAGCTGCATTACATTTCACACACGCACACACAAACACAGTTACTTGAGTTAACTTGAGATTCGCATTTGTGGTTTGCATCCATTGTCTTGCCTTTGACCATGTCTTTGGCCATGTCTTTGGCCATGTCTTTGGCCTTGTCATATGATAGCAATTTCCGTCATTATGCCGACGCACTTTCAATTTTAAATTTCAATGTTGTGATACGATTGACAGTTGTTGCCGTGACTCTTTCAAATTTCTTGCATCACTTATAGATGACACGTCCAACACGTTCAACAAAGTGTTCGCGTTGGCGTAAATCAAAAATAATTTCTCTCAATATTTTCGATGGAAATTCTTTCGCTGTTCGTTGAAGTTGAGGGCATTAGGAGTGGTGGCTGCTACCTGTAACTCATTCATCATTCTTGGTTGCATTTAAGTTGAAAAGTTCGCTGGCACCTCAAGCCCCTCAACTGTACCGGCGACTCTCGTCCCACTCCACTCCACTCCACTCTCCCTCCACTCCACTCTCCCTCCACTCCACTCTCCCCCCATCTATCCTTCTCTGTGTCGACCACTTACCGAACTCCTTCTGCTGGCATAAAGTATTTGCACAATTGCTGCTCGAGTTGCGCCCGAAATGACAGCGCAAAGTGTACGTAAAGTGTATTTTCCCATTGAACGAGGTTAAGCTTCGTTAAATTTTGCGCAGCATAGCGACGTCTATCAAAGTCCATCCCCCACTCCATCGATACCCTGTATTCAGCATCAAAATAGCAGTCTGCCTGTCTGCCCAATATCCCCTCTGTCAACAATATTATTTTAAAGATACATTTACCATTATCTACCGGAATGGGGTTCATGGTTTGTTTGTCACATTTTTGAGAACGATTCAATTTCGAATATTTTTTAATGAGCATAAGTCACGCATTGTGTTTAACAACATTTATTAGTACAGTTGTTGAACATTCATAATTAAACATAATTCACCAATTAATTAACCACATTAATATTGCATGAATGAGTACAAAACTTTTCATAAAATACAACTTAAGATAAGTTTAATAATAATAATAATAATAATAATAATAATAAAATAATCAACATAATAATAAAAGTAAGTTGAAATAACTAAAATTATAAATAAAATCTTTCCTCAAGAAATAAACTTCTGGATTTATACAAAATTTGAACAAGTTAATTTTTTGCATATAGCATTTACTTAATATTTATTAGTGCGTATCAGTAGAGTAAAGTTAATTGGTTCTTTAATAATGTTCTTTTTTTCCGAGTGTACATTGTACATAGCATGTACATTGAACTTGGTAATGAGTATCGTCCAGTTGAGCGTTTTTACCATTAGCTATGTTTATTTGATGCTTCTAATTGCTTTAAATGCTTTTAAGTTCCGTGAAGCATATTTTAGCAAGGATTCGTGGAAAAATGGCAGTAAGTAGACGGCGGCCAGTATGGACTGCTTGTCTTTGGAAAATCAACGAAACGTGGCGAAAGTAAAACATAACGCTCATAATCACACCCTATACATTATTTAAAAAAAAAAATGAAATGCAAAGTTGGTTTTTTTGGCGACCAGTACATAACATTAACTGGCGACTTTTTCGTTTCCTTTTGCGATGGCACTGAAAAGTTCGTTAAGTTGCGTTAAAATGTGAAAACGTTAAAATGAGGAAAATGTCAAGAAAATGGCAAAAACCAGAAACGCCATAGTTTGCTTTTTTTTTTGTGTGTGTGTGGGGGGTTTTTTTTTTTTTGTTGATTTGACTGACCCAGCTTCGACCGCCGTCCAGCGGAGTGATTGTCGGCTGGGGTTGCATGCGAATTTAATCAAGTCATGCAATAAAATTTACGGTTTGCCGACCATCGTTTGCCTTCTTGTTCCAAAAACTGCGCTACAGTTCTTGGGCCAGTTGAGTTCTGGTCATCAAATTATTTGCCACATTGCTACCAGGTAGGGGATGTCGACACTCGCAAGGCTCGTATTTTTACAGCCACTAATATTTGATTTTATCCGCGAGTATTTACGTCCTTCTGTCTGGCTTGAAACAATTTGCGGCCCTTGGCAAAAGTTTTAGGTATGTTTTCTTCTTCTTTTCCTACTTCTACTTCTGGTTTTTTGTTGTTCTTTTTTTGATTTAAGGAAGTTTTTAAGATTCTTGGCAGTCTGACCAAACGATTGAATTGATGCCTTTTCTCCATTCTTTTGATTTCTTTAGAGTTTAGTTTTCTGGTTAGTTTTTGTTATATTGCGAATGCATAAGGCCATTGTACAGCACTAATGTGCTCAGAAATTAGCATGAGGCTTTGTTCGTGGCCACCTTGATCAGGACGTGAACGAATGCTTTATTCTGTGGATTCCCTCGGGTTTTCAAATTCGCAATCAAAATTCCACGACGCGGCGCTTAATTGTTTTTTCACATTTTTTTTTGACATAGCCAGCAGTCAGCCAGCTGACTGTCGGTCGAATCCATAGTTGCCACGTTTTGCTTATCTTGGCTGGGCAAAGTTCAGTTTTTTTTCTTCAGGCTTTTTAGCTTTTAGCTTCTTGTTTTTTTTGTTGTTTTTTTTTTTTTTTTTTGTATGCACGCTTCATAGAAATGCAAATTTCAATTACGCGTATAGCTGGAGAAATTGAAATGCTTTCTGAAATATTTTCATTCCGTCGCTCATAAGAAATGCAGCCGGCCTGAGCCCAACTTTGCTCACTCCAAATTCAACTTCAAATTCAACTTCAAATTCAACTTCGAATTCAACTTGGCTCCCAGTTCGCTTGTCAGCAATCGCGCCCATTTCATTTGCATTCTGAATGCGTGAAAACTTTCACAGAGATCCACGAAATTTATTTTTGGCGAATTTTGTAACATGTGTCCAGTTGGAGCAAGTCGAAAACTTTTCACTTGAAACTTGGCTGCTTGACAAAATCACTTTGGTCTCTTCGGTTAATGAAAATTTCATTCCGCAATATACCGGCAAAGTTTCGTTTCGCTCATTGTATGTCAGTTTGGTCTACTGTTTTCTGTTTTCTGTTTTCTCTGCGGCTCATTGGTCGCATTGGGCCATTTTGTGGTTGATGCTGATGCTGACTACGAATTATTTCATTTAATTGCCGTTGAAATATTTAATATTAATTGATGTGCTTTAATTGCTTCTGCGGTGCGGGTGGCGAGTAGCTTGCGATTTTTGTTGTCGCCCAACTCATTAAAAACACATCAACTGGGCAATCTGGTTAGTGGCCAGCTCGCCAGCTCATCACCCGCTTTCGTGCCGTGATAGTCATATTATTAATCTTAATAACCACCACATATTGCCAGAAGGAATTCCACTAAACAATGCTCAAGTTGGCAAAGACAAAAGGACGCAACTTTTAGCTCAACTTTTACGAGCAACGAGCTTATATACAATTTATTGTATTGCATTGTGTTCATCTATCTGTCTTCTCATTTTTGGCATAGTTGTTGCCTACTTTTGACGACTTATTTTGATAAATTCTTTTTTTTTTTAGCTTATATGGAATTTTCCCAAAAATTGTTGGAGTAAAATTATAATCACCCACTTCTAGTATATCACTAAATTCAATATTTTGCCCACTTCCAGAAGGGAAAGCAAGTAATCAGTATTAATTTCAAATGTTATTTTGCTATTTATTTTTATTAATCGATAACATTGTGCAAATATAATTTTCAAATTTTGTATTTAATTATAATTTTTTAATTTGGATTGAAATTGAAATTTAACAACTATTTTAGATGTGTATTGTAAACATGAAAAATGAAATGAGATAATGCATTTTTACTTATGGAAAAAAAACCACAAATTAGAATTATTTGCATGCAGGCAATAATTCATATTTTTGTGGACACATTTTTTTTATTGATATTGGTTGCTCGAATATTGTGCGGTTTGTTAGTTTTATGGACCCTGATGTGGCATGTTGCACTCTATATAACCCAGTATGGATTGTAAAAAAAAAAAAACGTTTTAGTCACAATCCATTCACATTCAACTGGCAATTTGCATTGACGTAAGGCATTTCTATTCGTTCGTCCAATTTGTGCATAGTCCTTCTACTCAGCATGCCTGCTGCCAAGAGGGAGATAGAAATGGAGAGAAAGCGAGAGAGAGAGAGAGAGAGTGAGCTCAACTGACGAGGACTTGCACAACGGAC